TAAAAAAAAAAAAAAAAAAAAAAAAGTTGAACCCCAACCTTGAGGGTCTTCACTGTCCCATCCCTAGAGCTTTGTGAGGAAAGTAAATCGCGAGATGTGCCCCCACAGGCCATAGAATAAGAGCTGCCTGTACACTGCGCCTACAAGAAGTCAAATTGCATGTCTCAGGAATCGAACCCCCACACTGCGACTGCCAGCAAGACGTGAGATAACCTTACTCCTATCCTTTACACTACTAGACTATGCCCCGGTGGCAGCTCCCAATTATATCTAGAAGAATGGATAGAAGATTGCAAATTCATGGTAATTACTTAATGATTTAAGTCGTTAAAGATTTGTTATACATATATTTAGTATAATGTATAAAAGACGTGTGATCTTACGTCTTACAAGTATAGTGAAAATATTGAATCGATATTTTCTTGTTAATGAAGAAAGAAGCATTGTAAATGGAAGTTATCATCAATAGATCACAAGACAATTTCTATTCTTTGTACATAATAACATCTTTAAATATGTACTCGATAATTAAATAATATTTTATAAATAATATTTTGTGATTAAATTATAAGATAGTACATTTTCTAAAACTCCTTGCAAGAATGGACGGTCAGCAATACAAACATTCTATAAATACTTTTCAGAAAGTATACATAGGATGGCAATGATATTTTCTTGGAATATGAATATATTGTTCCTTGGTTTTTCTTGAAATTCAACTTTAGTCGGTTTGTTTGTAGTGCTTTTTTTTTTTTTTTTTGAAATCATTTAAAAATTCTGAAGTTGAATTCTCGTACTGAATTTTCTGTCATGTTTCTTTCTTTTTTTTTTTTTTTTTTAAATTCTTTTCACATTTCTCCATTTTCTAAGCAAACATTAAAAAGGAAAAGAGGCCTCGAGATCGGATAATGTCATCAGTTGCACACATTTCTTTATATACAACAAATTATATATGTGAACGTTTGTTAATGAGATCAGACATTTCGATAAATGGCGTATCTCTTATTTTGACAAATTTATAGCCAAACTCATTTCATTTTCAGGAGTTGGTATGTATTTGACATATTTAATTGGGAAAATTGCAGCAGTGATCCCTAATCTTTTCTTTTTTGCAGACTTTAACCTAACCTTCATTTTGTACTAGCGAAGGTCTCTAACCTCTCATAAATATGCACCTGAGGTCAATCTGAACGGAAATCGTCTAAAATATCGTCAGTTAATCAGGAAAATTCCTTAAACAATCTTCTACCGCGATAATTTTATTGGATGTTGATACATTTTTAAACCTTTTTTGGATGATTTTATTGGAAGTTGATTCTTTAATTTTTCCTGTCAATTGACGTGGTTTTGAATGGTTTTGGTCCAGATGGATCTCAAGTGCATATTTATGAAAGGTTAGGAACTTCCGTTGATACAAAATGAAGGTTATGGTAAAATCTGCAACAAATGAAAAGATTAAGAATCGCTGTTGCAGTTTTTCTTATTTAATTTAATAAGAGATCGTTAATCTATAATACTTTTCGCAAATTCATAAACATTAAATAACACCTCTCTCTTTTTAATATGGAGAGTTGATAGCAAAACTTATTTCATTTTCATGAGCTTATAAGTTATCATACATTTAAGTTAAAAATGTGTCACTGTAATGGCCCGATCTACTGGAAAATGAGAACAACACGTCACTGACATATGTAAAGGCTCGCCAAGAAAATCAGGATATCAAACTTATATCTCCTCCTATTTTATTAGTTGAATTTGGAAAAAATTTTATAAATCAGCACTTTGTTTCCAGCAAACAGTTTTTTATTACACAAATGACACGCATCGATACTAAACCCCAAGGAATCTTGGGAAATACACACAGATTACAACTTCGTCACTAAATCCATACACGTCTGCATGGTGACGAGACGCCAATAAATATAATATTTATTAATAGAAACAGAAGGCTAAACAGGAAGGACGAGGAAAGTACCTAATTAAGAATTGTCAAAGGTGGTTTTAGATTTTAGGTTGAAACAGCCAACCAGAGGAGGAGAGGGTGAAGAGTAGAAAACCGAAAGCCCACCACACAAATATCAAATATCATCATTTTTTGAATAATGGCTTTGGAATATGGGTTTTTGTGTGTATATAAAGGGGGTGCTACCATTGCATTCTCCATCATTCACAAGCAAAAATACGTTCATTTGCTCTTTCAAGAGTGTTCCTTTGTTGCGTTTGTTACTCTTTTTCATTCACTTTTGTCCCATTGGTTCACCGTTTCTGAGATCTCTGGGTTCTTCTGCCACTTTCCATAAGGTAAAAAACACTACACATTTCATGAGTTTCTCTTTTTTCACTTTATTTTTTCGTATAAAACGTAGCCATAAGCCATTGATGGTGTTGAAGAAAGCTTTTAGATCAAATGGTTAATCATAATATTAGAGTGGGCGATTGTTTTAAGTTAATTCTCACCACCACCTGTTTATTAAAAATTATCCTTGTGTAAGGCTTTGAGAAAAAAATCCCGCCTACCCGTAAGCGGCAAGTAGAAGTTAAGATTCATATGATATTCTGGCAGTTTAAGCTTTTAGATCAAATTGTTCTTCAGATGAGATTTCCTATGGATGTTATGCCTTTACATTAGTAAAGTTCTTGTTTGTCACTCATGGGAATTTCTGTTTCGATGATCTAATAAATGTCAATGTGTTGGTTGGTGTATCAGGTGTTAGGTTTAGAATTTTTTAGCATTCTAGAATGGATGAATTATATTATTATGTGGTTCATTGACTAATATTGTAGTCAGTTTCTTCTTTGACGAGTTTTTCTTTTTTAAATAAGCATAAATATCCTAAATCTCTGTACTGTTAATCGTCTTACAGTTGAAATTTTTCCAAGATCGTGTTAACTGCTTAACTATTTTCAATGGCGGAGCGTGTTTTGACTCGCGTTCACAGCCTTCGTGAACGATTGGATGCAACTCTAGCAGCTCATCGGAACGAAATTTTGTTGTTTCTGTCTAGGTATATTTTGATGTGAAATCTCAATTTTTTTCTCAATTCATTCTTATATGGATTTCTCTTAATTAGATTACTGGATATTGCAGGATTGAAGGCCATGGAAAAGGAATTCTGAAACCTCACGAGCTCCTTGCTGAGTTTGAAGCAATTTGCCAAACTGACAAAGAGAAACTGAAGGACCACGCCTTCCAAGAATTTCTCAAGTCCACACAGGTAAAGTTGAATTTACCCTTTGAAATTTTGCTCGGGTCCTTTATCTTTTTTATGATTCTGTTGCGAATTTCTGTCACCAGGAAGCAATTGTGTTGCCTCCATGGGTTGCACTAGCTATTCGTTTAAGGCCTGGTGTTTGGGAATACGTACGTGTCAATGTTAATGCTTTGGTTGTCGAGGAGCTGACGGTGCCAGAGTATCTGCACTTCAAAGAAGAGCTTGTAGATGGACCGTAAGTTTCGAATCAAGAGTTTTCACCTTTGGTTTTTCTGATATTAATCCAGTTTTCTCACGATTTCATAGTTCAACCTTCTTTATGTTGATGCAGTGCCAACGGGAACTTTGTTCTTGAGTTGGATTTTGAGCCATTTACTGCATCTTTTCCCAAGCCGACCCTCACCAAGTCCATTGGCAATGGAGTTGAGTTCCTTAATAGGCACCTCTCTGC